CCTGGAGGTCAAGTAGAGGCAGGGACGGGCTGCTTGCTGCCCCAAGCCAGTGACCCTGGGGAGGCCCAGCTACCACGCTATGCTGAGCCAGCGCCTTAGGGCCCCACACAGCTGGGCCAGGGCTGCAGAGGGGCCACAGGCCCTGGAGGATAGGGAGAGCCCTAGGAGCCCTGGGACAAGCACACAGCAGGTGAAGGGCGGGGCTGGGCCTGTTGGCAGCCCTGGCCATCCTAGACCCCATGCCTGTTAAGCAGGGGTAAGTGAGCCTGCAGAGGTGTGGGGCAGCTTCTCATCTGGGGCAGGCCTCTCTGGGACCTCCTCACAGACACCCCTCTTCCTGCCATCCAGTCCTGTCAGAATAAAGGAAGAAACAGGTCCCCGCTCGGGGTGCTACCCACACCACACCACACGGTGCCACCACACAGCCCCTGGGCCTGGCCACTGCTGGGCGGCACACGAGACCCTGGACCCTCAGGTCTGGGAGGATGGGTAGGGTAGGTCTCCCTAAGCTGTTCCAACTCTCATCCAGCCAGATGCAGCCACCTCAGCTCAGGCCCCAGCCCAGGCCACAGGCCTCAGCCTCTCCATAGTCCACCCTTGCTGACCAGCCGGCACCTGCAGGCCTGTGCTGAGTTCAGCACAGTGGAGCGCACTCCCTGACGGGTGCTGCATTGGCTCTGGCTCCAAGGTGCAGGCACTGCCTTCCCACAGGTGTGGCCCCCGCCTGCTGCAGAGCATACCCCGCTGAGCAGGGCTGGCACACCCTGGGCGAGGTCCAGGCACCTGGAGCCACGTTTCTCCTGCGTGTCTGGCTCAGACTGCTGTTCCCCCCAGGATGCGATCGCAGAGGGTGAGGCAGGGCAGGCTCCTCACAGGCGGAGAGCTGGAGGGAGGCCTCCACCCTGCCCCACTTCCCAGAATCTGTGGGTGTTCAGGGTGTGCTGAGGCCCCGCCCTGAGAACTGGCCACCCTGTGTTCAAGCGAGGTGAGTGTGTAAGTGCACACACACGCCCCACCCCCGTCCTGCGTGGCCCAACCTCTACACTACAGTTGAAGATTTTGCCTCATGTTGTACATTTTGGGAAAGCTTTGCGTGTAAATCAGTGTAAACTTGGAGAGGTTTTTCTATCATGTAGAGTAGGTATTTTTTATAGATTGAAGGATGATCAATTTTATAACACTTTTGAGAGAGAAGACTATCTGTATATACAGCGTCAATGTATGTATGTATGTATGTATGTATGTATGTAAGTATGTATGATAGACACGTCCCGGAGCCCTGTCTGTGTGTAGGGCCCACCCTGCACCTGCCCCGTGCTGCAGAGCTGCACCTGCTCCGTGCT